TAAAACTTAGTTAAAATAATTGTATACTCGTTAAATATGGTGGTAAAATATATAATTTTCAAATGAAAAAAACAGACTCTTGGAGAAGACATGAATCGGGGTACCGAAAAACTGGAAATAGCCCAGGACTAGTTCTTTCCAAAAATATATAGGTTATATGCAACTCCAGCTCTGGGTAATTTAACGATTTTTTGAAAAAGCATAAAATTTTGCCAAAAATAGAGGAATTTTCAAGTGGATCAAAAGGGCATTTGGAGAAGACATTAATCGGGGTACCGAAAGACTGGAAGTAGCTCAGGACTAGTTCTTTCCAAAACTATATAGCTTATATGCACTTCCAGCTCTGGATAATTTTGACGATTTTTTGAAAAAACATCAAATTTTGCCAAAAATAGTGGAATTTTCAAGTGGATCCAACGGTCATTTGGAGAAGACATGAATCGGGGTACCGAAAAACTGGAAGTAGCCCAGGACCAGTTCTTTCCAAAAATATATAGGTTATATGCAACTCCAGCTCTGGGTAATTTAACGATTTTTTGAAAAAGCATAAAATTTTGCGAAAAATTTAGGTAGTTTCAGGTCGATACTATTATTCTTATTATGAAAAACATTTCAAAAATCAACTTCTGTTGTTCAATATTTGATATTTGATTTGAATTTTCGTTAACAGTTTTTACGTGTAAATAAAATACTTTCAATAAAAAATAAACATTTCTTGTTTATTTTTTATTTTTGTTAATATTAAATATCACTCAATGAACTCTTTTTAAAGAATTATCTTGACGGCAGTTCATAATTTTATTTTGTGAATAAATAATGAGAGTGATGGAGGTAGCAAAATATTGTTGTAAGTTTTCCATGAAAATTATGCATATTTTATTGCTTCGCTGCCAATAGGTTTGATCGTTTTGGGCGCTGTTAATTTGTTGTTGGGATCGCCGTTTTTTATATATGATTTCTGTAATTTGTTTATGACAGCACAATTTTTTTCTTGTGTTTTTTATATTCTCAGGTAATAATAATGTAAAAATAGAGTCCCTTCGACTCTACTAGTGAACTACCACGATAACCATTCTCAGGTAATATTTTTCGTATTCGTTGTGAAAATTGAAAAAACTCTACAATAAGTCAAAAAATAAAGCAATTGTTTGAGAAAATTCGCAAAATGTCATACCCAGTTGTCTTTCCTTTTGAGAAATCTTTGATTTTTAGGACATATTTCTAATTTTGCAATGACTTTATCTTGAAAGTCAAATGAATAGTGAAATTCTGTTGAATTTCTAGAAATTAAAAATTTTAAAAGATTTCATAAAAACACTAGTAAAGGAGAAATATGTTGTAATTCTTTGCGAATATTGGGAAATGTCTTAAAAAATTAAAGATTTCACAAAAACTCTAGAACAAGTCGAAAAAAGTTAAGCTCTTTGTTGAGAAAATTCTCAAAATTCCCTACACAGTTGCTATGGTGTCCGAAGTTTTGACCTTATTTAGGGATCGATTCTTTTATTGATCGTTTATAACAACACAAGTGTTGAGGATTGAAAGGTAATTTTTGTACGTATGTATGAATGTATTTTATGATTTTGTGTAACATATGCTTTTTATGTTTTTTCAAAAAATCTTCAAAATTATCCAGAGCTGGAATTGCATATAAACTATATATTTTTGGAAAGGACTGGTCCTGGGCTACTTCCAGTTTTTCTGTACCCCGATTCATGTCTTCTCCAAATGCCCTTTTGATCCACTTGAAAATTCCACTATTTTTGGCAAAATTTGATGATTTTTCAAAAAATCGTCAAAATTATCCAGAGCTGGAATTTCATATAAACTATATATTTTTGGAAAGAACTAGTCCTGGGCTACTTCCAGTTTTTCGGTACCCCGATTCATGTCTTCTCCAAATGCCCTTTTGATCCACTTGAAAATTCCACTATTTTTGGCAAAATTTAATGTTTTTTAAAAAAATCGTCAAAATTATCCAGAGCTGGAATTGCATATAAACTTTATATTTTTGGAAAGAACTAGTCCTGGGCTACTTCCAGTTTTTCGGTACCCCGATTCATGTCTTCTCCAAATGCCCTTTTGATCCACTTGAAAATTCCACTATTTTTGGCAAAATTTGATGATTTTTAAAAAAATCGTCAAATTTATCCAGAGCTGGAATTTCATATAAACTATATATTTTTGGAAAGAACTAGTCCTGGGCTACTTCCAGTTTTTCGGAACCCCGATTCATGTCTTCTCCAAATGCCCTTTTGATCCGCTTGAAAATTCCACTATTTTTGGCAAAATTTGATGTTTTTTCAAAAAATCGTCAAAATTATCCAGAGCTGGAATTGCATATAAACTTTATATTTTTGGAAAGAACTAGTCCTGGGCTACTTCCAGTCTTTCGGTACCCCGATTCATGTCTTCTGCAAATGCCCGTTGGATCCACTTGAAAATTCCACTATTTTTGGCAAAATTTGATGATTTTTCAAAAAATCTTCAAAATTATCCCGAGCTGGAATTGCATATAAACTTTATATTTTTGTAAAGAACTAGTCCTGGGCTACTTCCAGTTTTTCGGTACCCCGATTCATGTCTTCTCCAAATGCCCGTTGGATCCACTTGAAAATTCCTCAATTTTTGGCAAAATTTTATGATTTTTAAAAAAATCGTCAAAATTATCTAGAGCTGGAATTGCATATAAACTATATATTTTTGGAAAGAACTGGTCCTGGGCTACTTCCAGTTTTTCGGTACCCTGATTCATGTCTTCTCCAAATGCCCTTTTGATCCACTTGAAAATTCCACTATTTTTGGCAAAAGTTGATGTTTTTTTCAAAAATTCGTCAAAATTATCCAGAGCTGGAATTGCATATAAACTTTATATTTTTGGAAAGAACTAGTCCTGGCCTACTTCCAGTTTTTCGGTACCCCGATTCATGTCTTCTCCAAATGCCCGTTGGATCGACTTGAAAATTCCACTATTTTTGGCAAAAGTTGATGTTTTTTCAAAAATTCGTCAAAATTATCCAGAGCTGGAATTGCATATAAACTTTATATTTTTGAAAGAACTGGTCCTGGGCTACTTCCAATTTTTCGGTACCCCGATTCATGTCTTCTCCAAATGCCCTTTTGATCCACTTGAAAATTCCTCTATTTTTGGCAAAATTTGATGATTTTTAAAAAAATCGTCAAAATTATCCAGAGCTGGAATTGCATATAAACTTTATATTTTTGGAAAGAACTAGTCCTGGACTACTTCCAGTTTTTCGGATTCATGTCTTCTCCAAATGCCCTTTTAATCCACTTGAAAATTCCACTATTTTTGGCAAAATTTGATGTTTTTTCAAAAAATCGTCAAAATTATCCAAAGCTGGAATTGCATATAAGCTATATAGTTTTGGAAAGAACTAGTCCTGAGCTACTTCCATTCTTTCGGTACCCCGATTCATGTCTTCTCCAAATGCCCTTATGATCCACTTGAAAATTCCTCAATTTTTGGCAAAATTTGATGATTTTTAAAAAAATCGTCAAAATTATCCAGAGCTGGAATTGTATATAAACTATATATTTTTGGAAAGAACTGGTCCTGGGCTATTTCCAGTTTTTCGGTACCCCGATTCATGTCTTCTCCAAGAGTCTGTTTTTTTCATTTGAAAATTCTATATTTTACCACCATATTTAACGAGTATACAATTATTTTAACTAAGTTTTATTTTACATATTTATTTTTTGAATATATTTTAATATAATTTTACTTTTTTTCTTAAAAAAACACTTTATTTGGTCTTTGTTTTATTAAAAAATAATTTTAAATAATTTGAAAACGAATTTTACAGTATGTGGAACGTATTTACATTATGTAGTGTGGGACGTATTTGGCAGACGAATTTAACTTCACACCCTTTAATTGTTCAGTAATGATATTTTCGAATAATTTGGGTATTATGCTTAATTTAGCAATTCCACGATAATTTAAAATATCCGATTTATTTCCTGATTTAAATAATGGGACAATAAAAGAATCCTTCCAAACGCTGGGAAAATTACCACTCTTCTATGATTTATTTAACAAATACGTAAGAGGAATAGCAATATTGTCAGCACAGTTAATTAAAATACTGCTAGGGATTTTATCAGGACCAAAATTATGCGAAAATTTTAGTTTCCTTAATTCTTTAACTAAATTAGAAACATCAAAACATCGATGTGTATAAACTGTTTGGTTTGAAGTTATAGTATATGGATAGTCAGCAGAATCATTATAGGTTACATTAGAATAAGTTGTTGAGAAAAAATCCGCAAATAGGTTGCTTATAACTACTTCATCACTAGATTCATTTTGTTGAAACTTCATAGATGAGGGGAAGCCAGTTGATTGTCTTTTGGAATTGACAAATTTGAAAAACGATTTAGGATTACGTTTAAAATTATATTTCACTTTGTTTATATAATTATTGTAACATGATTTATTGAGCAGAGTATATTCAGCTCGACAAACAGAGTACTTGAGGTAATAATGATGAGAACCAGTTTGTTTAAATTTTTTGCTTGAACCAGCTGTTTATTATTCCATGTTGTTTATGTTTTAATTTTCTTTTGAGCTTTATTCTTATCAGAATTTATGAATTTAATTAGATAAATAGTTTTTTAAATTAAACTTTTAGTAATGATGTATCTTAATATAAAATTTCACCAAAATGAAGCAAATTTTTCACAGTTTTTTTTTAATAACAATAAATGATTTTAATTTTGTATTGATTATAAGATTAATACTGAAAATGCGGAGCAAATATTTTGCGGCTTTACACAGGCAGGTAATAATCCAATACGGAAATCATTTTTTTGCAATGCGTATTGAAACGATGGCACTTATTTGCTCTGGGTTGTAAAGGTTATCTTTATGAAATCACCTATAAACTCATTATCAGATAAGATAAAAGTAATTTAAGTACAGCTCTACATATCAATATTATTTTAAATTTTCATTAACAATGTGTATAAAATTTCAGTTTCTTTAAACTATTCTGTATCAAGTGACAACGATGGAAACATGGGAACAAATCTAACTGAGGAATCATCGCAAATCCTTGCTACGAAAAAAATTAGTAATTTTAAAGTAATGAACGGAAATGGCGAGAATTTTGCAAGCACTAAAGCATCAAACGAAAGAGTAGCATTAAAGGGTGCATATGAAGTATATGATGGTGAAATTGATATGAACAGCAACTATACTGGATATCTGGAAGTTATAGGTAAGTGTGTGTAATTTTGATTACACAAGCCAAATTAGAATTGAATATTTTGTTCATACATTACTGAACTTTTTATATAATTAAAAAAATATTTTTGCGTTTAAGGGTTAATATTGACTTTTTTAATGTCATTATACATATGGGTCTTATTTATATATTATTTTCATGTTTCATTTAAATGTATTGAAAACTAAATAATATTTCACTACGGTTTCATGAAAATTTCCCAATATTGCTTAATTTGGGTTAATTATGGGTTTATATTATTTGATTTTACTAAAACTTTAGATATACACTGGTGACCGAAACTAAATCAACTGATGAAATATTTACACTAACCCCTCGATTAACGTCGCTAAAATTTTTGTTCCTACGTCGCACAAAGGGTTGAATTTGGGACAAATGGAGATTAATTGAAAAAGTAAAATTAGTTTTTTTGAAAATTTCTTTTTACTCGGTTAAAGAGTAAAGACGTGCACAGTTACAACTGTTTGCACAAGTTTTGTAGTGTCTACCACTGTGAGTGCGTATTGATGAGTAGTTCTGGTACAAGTTGATATTGTTATTTTCTCAAACATAGGTTGTGTGAGTGAGTACAAAGAGAATAAGAGTAACATACTTGTTTTGCTATACTTATGCCAAACAAATAAAATAGATAATGATGGTTGTGCAACAAATAACTTATTGTATGCTGCAAGCGTATAAAAACACAGTTGTTTAGAAACATTTTTTTATTATTTTAAAATGTATATTCGGTATCTCGTGATCTATAGGAGATATCGTAGCAAAATTTAACATAGTTAGAGCTGAGGTGTTTGCGTATCTACTTACAATCTGTAGACTCCGTAGGTCCAATGGAGTCCAGTGGTAAGGCCCTTAAAATTGGTCACCTCGACTCAATTTTTTTTAAATCAATAAAAATGCATTTATGATCCGAATTAAAAAAAAAAACATTTTAATGGAAAAATACAAAACAAAACTTTTGAAAGGGTCCTTAGTTTCCTAATTGAGAATCCGGATCTCAGTACAATTTGCCAAAAAATAAGTTTTTAAATTTTGTCGAAATTCATCTCAAATATTGCCTAAAATGTAAAATTTGTAAGAATATTTTTGGTCCACAAAAAGACTTTTATTTAGCGCATTACAAAGGACACAAAGATTTTGAATTTTTTCGAAATATGTAAAAATTATCGTAATTTTAAGAAAAGTTTACAAAAATATTTAGTGTTTTAATTAATGACTTTTTTAATTTATGAAGGAATTCTGAAGCACTAAAAGTAATTCTGTGGAATAAAAGTACTTCAAACAATTTTATGATTATTTTTTCTAAAAAATGTAGGAAACTTTTTTTATAATTTGTACTGAGATCATTATTTTCAATAGGTGGGAAAATTATTTTTTATTTTTTTTTTTTCGAGTTCACTACGATACACATCATTTGAGACTTGTGCCCACTTTAAATCACAAAAAGCTGTTTCTCGTTACACTTTTCTTTAGGTCAGATATTACGCTTAGACTTTTTTTGAGATTTTTTGAGAGACATTTTTCAAAATTAAAAAAAATGTTCTTTTAAATGTTGTATTTTAATTTTTTTTTTTATCAAATAAATGATGATAAGGAATATCTATATATTTTCTTTTCATTAATTATTGATTTTATGTCGATTAAAAAATATAACTCTAGAGACCACCTAAGAATATTTATGTAAAATTTAATTTCAATAATTTCAATGTCATATGTTGTTTCTACTACATAGCTTTAAAGTTGAGAATTTTTTTTTTGTTTTTGTAAAAAGTTAAAATAATTTAAATTTGAACTATTTTGAAACTTCTATAACCTTTTTTAATACTTTAAAAGTGATATTTTTTATTATGGAATCATGAACTTCAGTCAATTAGGTGTGATCGAAAAAAATAATGGATTAAAAAAAAAACATGTTAAAATATTTTTATTATTTTTTCTTAAATATGTCCATTTTTTCGCTATTTTTGAAATATATGTAGAGTTTTAAATGGGTATTGGGTAACATTGGGAAAAATTTAAATTTTGTATTAAACTACAATATCTTGGCTTTAATAATCAAGAAAAAAGTTTGCGCGTTTTTGCGCGAATCATTTTTATTAAATAAATTGTAAAAATAGTCACTCATTAAAAACCAAATGTTCTTGTCTTAATTTGTTTATAATCGTTTTCGTTGTTATGTTATTGTTGTACTGAATTTTAATTCAGTTTGATTTATGTTTACAACAGAGACGATCAAAACCACTCACGTGATTATCGGGAATTTATATGAAAAGAAAAACTCCTTCCAATAGACAGTGACACAGCAGAAGGCGAAAATATTTCAGATGAAGAATAGTAATGGAGAGAAGTATAATAATTTTTGGCACCATGGGGAATATTAACGTGTTTTTATTATTTTATTATTTTTTAAAATAATAATAAATAATTTTAATAACACATTTGTAAAAACATATTTAAAAAATGGTTAATTATAGCTACTTATTTCCAAATTAAAGCAAATTGATAAGTCATGCTCATCTATATATATAAAATTCTAACGTTACTGACTGACTGACTGACTGACTGATTCATCATCGCACAGCCTAAACGGTTAAAGCTAAAGAGCTGAAATTTGGACAGGGGGTTGGTCTCCCACCAAATAGATCCACTAAGACGGGATTTTCATATCTCCTAAACTAGAAAAGATACAAAAATAGTTTAAAGCTTATCGTCGTACATTTAAAAAATAAGCGGAGAGGTGTCTGGTACTTTTTTCAATTTCGGCCCCTTTAGGGAATAAATGGGTAAAAACTGTATTTTGGTACTTTTTTTGCACCCCATGTATCTTTTAAACCAGTGAACAATATTTTTGACTCCTTCATAACTAAACCAGTGAACAATATTTTTGACTCCTTCATAACTTGACGAAAAAATAAAAATATAAATTTAGTACTTTTTGGTTATTCGGATGTTTAAGGGGTGAAAATTGTACCTATTTTTTCATAAAACATTGATTTTGGTTTATTAACTTATACATATAAATACATAATAACGGGCTCCCACTACGATGTTGCAACATTTTGGAATAGAATTTTTATTTCATTAATGGGTAGAAAAAAAGTACCAAAAGGGGTAAAAACGGGAAATTTGATTTTATTCAAACACAATGATCCAATTTAGATAAAATTTTTAGATTTAGAAACACTAAATATGCTAATGAGGTGTTATTTGGAACCCCGGTACCAAGTGATATTTTTTGGTACTTTTTCATTCTTCATCTGGTACTTTTTGAGTTTTCTTTGATATTGAAATCGAAACATGAAATTAATAATAAAGGGACTTTTCGGTACTTTTTCGTTCTACACAGGTATTTTTTTAAGTTTTCTTTAAAATTAAACCTAGAAGCATGAAATTAAGCATGTAGAGCCCGGAGTAAATGAGAATCTATAAAAGGGGACCTTTTGGTACTTATTCGTTCTACAAAAGGTACTTTTTGAGTTTTCTATAAAATTTAACCTAGAAAAATTAAATTAAGCATGTAGAGCCCGGAGTAAATGAGAATCTATAAAAGGGACATTTTTGGTACTTTTTCGTTCTTCAAAAGGTACTTTTTGAATTTTCTATTAAATTTAACCTAGAAACATGAAATTAAGCATGTAGAGCCCGGAGTAAATGAGAATCTATAAAAGGGCACTTTTTGGTACTTATTCGTTCTACAAAAGGTACTTTTTGAGTTTTCTATAAAATTTAACCTAGAAAAATGAAATTAAGCATGTAGAGCCCGGAGTAAATGAGAATCTATAAAAGGGACATTTTTGGTACTTTTTCGTTCTTCAAAAGGTACTTTTTGAATTTCCTATAATATTGAACCTAGAAACATGAAATTAAGTATGTAGAGGATGGATTAAGTGAAAACCTATAAAAGGGGACTTTTGGTACTTTTTCGTTCTTCAAAAGGTACTTTTTGGATTTTTGTATAATATTGAACCTAGAAACGTGAAATTAAGCATGTAGAGCCCGGAGTAAATGAGAATCTATAAAAGGGGACTTTTTGGTACTTTTTCGTACTTCGACTGGTACTTTTTGAATTTGGTACTTTTTCGTTCATCAAAAGGAATTTTCTATAATATTGAACCTAGAAACATGAAATTAAGTATGTAGAGCCTGGATTAAGTGAGAACATATAAAAGGGGACTTTTTGGTACTTTTTCGTTCTTCAAAAGGTACTTTTTGGATTTTTGTATAATATTGAACCTAGAAACGTGAAATTAAGTGAGGACCTATAAAGGGGGACTTTTTGGTACTTTTTCGTTCTTTAAAAGGTACATTTTGAATTTTCTACAATATTGAACCTAGAAACATGAAATTAAGCATTTAGAGCCTGGATTAAGTGAGATCCTATAAAAGGGCACTTTTTGGTACTTTTTCGTTCTTCAAAAGGTACTTTTTGTGTTTTTTATAATATTGATCCTAGAAACATGAAATTAAGCATGTGGAGTTAATTAGAATCTATAAAAGTGGGCCCTTTAGTAGACATAAAACTAAGCAATCAGGGACTTGAGAGAATGAAAATTTAAACTGGAATATTTTCTGGTACTTTTTCGTTCTTTAATTGGTACTTTTTGAATTTTCTATAATATTGAACTTAGGAACATGAAATTAAATAAAATAGGTCTTTTGGTACTTTTTCGTACTTCACTGGTACTTTTAGAGCTTTCTAAAATATTGAACATATAAACATAAAATTAAACACGCAGTATCCCAATTGAACGAAAATTGAGAAAGGATACTTTGGTACTTTTTTGTTCTTTTACTAATACTTTTCTATAATATTGAACCTAAAAACATAAAATTGGACATGCAGCTTCCTGACTGTATAAAAATCTGTATGCGATTTTTTTGGTTTCTGGTTGAAAATTAAACATGCGTCATCCTGATTTAATGAAAATATATAAAAAGGCACTGTCTGGTACTTTTTCGTTCTTCAACTGTTTTTT